TTTTTTTGTTTGGATTAATCATTATAACATTTTGTTAAAAATCTAAAAGTAATTATCACTGGTTCACTACATTACATCAATATTTATCGCATATCGAATGTCATACTATACGGTTATTTAAAGGTGACATTACGCTTCAGAAAAAGTTCTGTGACAGTTTTGTGTTTGGTCAAACCAGTTGTGTGTTACAGCGTTCCAAAATGGAGGTAAAAAAAGAGAAAATTCGATACATTCTTCAGTACCACTACGACCAAGGTGAAAAGGCGGAGCAGGCGGCCAAAAAAATTTGTGCTGTTTATGGACCCAATACAGTATCGAATGCAACAGCAAAGCGGTGGTTCCAACGATTCCGTTCTGGTAATATGGACGTCGAAGATGAGGCACGCTCTGGTAGGCCAATCGTCGAAAATGTCGATAAAATCATGGAAATCGTCGAGTCGGACCGGCATGTGAGCACTTATTCCATTGCCCAGGAACTGAAGATTAGCCAGAAAACCGTTTGGAACCATTTGCATAAGGCTGGTCTCAAGAAGAAGCTCGATGTATGGGTGCCACACGAATTGACGCAAAAGAACCTTTTGGACCGAATTGATGCCTGCGATTCTTTGCTGAAACGTAACGAAATCGACCCATTTTTGAAGCGGATGGTGACTGGTGATGAAAAATGGGTCACATACGTGAACAACAGCCGAAAAAGATCGTGGTCCAATCGCGGTGAGCCGGCATAAACGATCGCCAAGCCCAGATTAACGGCCAAGAAGGTTTTGCTGTGTGTTTGGTGGGATTGGAAAGGAATCATCCACTATGAGCTGCTCCCATCGGGCCAAACACTCAATTCGGACCTCTACTGTCAACAACTGACCAGATTGAAGCAGGCGATCGACCAGAAGCGGCCAGAATTGGCCAATAGGAAGAGTGTTGTGTTCCATCAAGACAACGCCAGGCCGCACACATCATTAACGACGCGCCAGAAGCTCCGAGAGCTTGGATGGGAGGTTCTATTGCACCCGCCGTATAGTCCAGACTTGGCACCAAGCGATTATCACCTTTTCAAGCATTTGCAAAATTTTCTTGATGGTACAAAACTGGCCTCAAGAGAGGCTTGTGAAAATGAGCTGGTCAAGTTTTTTACCAATAGGGACGAGGACTTCTTCAATCGCGGAATTATGAAATTGCCTTCAAAATGGACAAAAGTTATCGAACAAAACGGCGCATATTTGATCGAAATCGGATAATCCTAACTATGTTAATTTCATCGTCGAAATAAAGCGAAAAAACGCTCAGAACTTTTTACTTCACCTAATATATAATTCCGATATGTTAATTCTTGATAATCCTCTTTGAGTGTCTTACGTTACTATCCCGCTTGTGTCTCTGCAATACACAGTTTATGACATTATAAACAATATGATACGTATTTTCAATACATAGTACTTTAACCTATACCATTACTTCACATACCTTAATGATATATCTTATTGAGGTATAAACAATCGCTTTTATTTGTCCGAAATTGTTTTTAGGCTTCCTCGCCAGAAAAATCAGAAAAATAGGACAACGTAATAAAGGAGCTTGAAGAGAGGATAAAAGATATGCCGTCCAAGTCCACAACATTTGCTAAACAACCTTACTTCCTAAGAAACCTAATAGAAGGCGTTTTGCACGAGGCTTGGGTTATAATGGATCTAGCCTTAGACAGTGCACAAAATATAATAGGTCATGCAAATGACACCGCGCAAGATGTTCTGGGAATTATTAGAAAAGGCGGTAAAAGGATAATCACAAATAACGATACCAAGGAAAAGAAAACGAATCCCACGGAGGAAGCCCAAGTTGCTGGTATAATAAATAATATCCAAGACGAAATAAATAATGTGCTGAAAGATCTTAAAGATTCTCTTCAAAATATTAAAAATAACGGTGAAGAAAAAATGAAAAAAATTAAAGAACATATTAAAGATGATATTGAAAAACTAATAAACTAGGTTTAGAAGACATGAAGGAATTGACAAACAAGATATTTGACGTCTATGTTAAAGGATACTACAAAAAAATCAGACATTTATTTGGATGATTAATTTTAACTTTGAGATATAACTTAGGTTCATTTAAAGTTGATGTGTTCAGAGACGCCACACGCTTTTAAGCATTGTCAAACATTTCTCAGCGAATTTTAAAGTTCCTTTTAAACAATTCACACAATCTCTAAAAGAGTTTAGTGATGTCAAACCCAGTGAATAAATTTTGTAACGCATCTGTCCTTTAATTCGCGAGTCTATTGATTAAATATCGCATGTGGTGTCTTTATTTCAATTAGCGACATCTTATTTCATCAAATTACGATCACTATTAACGTGATAATGTGATGTAACAGTTATCAAAATTACTGTTTGCTGAAAAACAAAAAACACATCCGCGTTAACACCACGATAGAATCGACTTCGGCCTCAGTGTATCACGAAGAGTTCAATAAATATGTTAAAGCATTTTAATAGAGACGTTTCAATTAACCTATTCCACATCTTGTATTTTGTAAGCGAAAGAACTAGTTTCAGAAATTAGTTTAAGTAGTTTGAAAAATGCGTAAGGGAAGAAGACAGGAAGAAAGCATTTGTCGTAGCAATATTCCGTGGCCAAGTGAAAATCGTATATTACAGATCAAAGTTTACGATAACCGATGACGGTCAAATAGATACTGAAAGGTTAACTGAAAGGTTAGATATTGAAAGGTTACACGAACATTGCAGTCCGAGTATGCAAGTGTTGCATATGATACGTAGACGGTGAATGAATTGAAGTTCAATTTCTTCACGATATATATGAGTGTACTTGTATGTGCAAAGATAATATCCTTCTCTCACTTTAAAGTTAGAATCGATACGCAAAAATATGTATACTCCTATTCTTCTGTCTAATTCAACTATAAGTTATTATACAGGCTGTTCGGAAAGTACCGGGACGCCCGAATATCAGGAAAAATATAAGTTTTACAAAAAAATGTTTCAGACAAAAGTTGTGGCGTTTAAAAAGATGTATTTACTGATCACATCAGTTTGACCTTGGGTTGCGTAGCGAAGGTCAGGTCAAGGTCACATTAATTTTTTTAAATG